TTTTTTTGTTTTTTTTTTTTTTTTTTTTTTATTTTACTTTAAATATATATATATCTTTCTGCAATCACCAGGATCTGAAAAACTAAATCTGAAAATCTGAGGTTGGGTAAAATATCTAACAGTACATGTCCCTTTAACAGTCACTGTACTGGTCTACCAGGGACTGAAGTTGTACTATTTTGTCATTTAAACAACTTTTCACTTCAGTGTGGTGTTATAAAACACATTCCCACCCCTTACATATGTCCAAACAGCCTTGAGGCTGGTCTGACTTCAATTACAATTTTCAGGAAGTCCTGTGAATTCTGGATTACAAAGCGAGACTGTACTATCCTGCACTATGGCTGTGCCAAAAAATCCTTCCTTTTCCTGGGGGTTGTCAGAAGGGCCAGCATCAGTCCTGTAGTTCTGTGCATCTGGGTTATAGTTCAATGGCTGTTTCTACTTGTTTTAGAAAGATTTGCTGATCTGAACAATGTTTAGACCTATTAATGGCCTGGCATAATGTTGTTGCAAGCTCAGATTCATTCCCAGGGTGTGCTTTTTAAATGCAATTTTGGCATTTTACCGCTTAGCTGCTGTCAACATACCCTAGGCACCCCAACTCGTTCAGCGGGTTGGGAAACGTTGTAAAGGTTTAGTGAAACAGGTCTGCCAAAACTGGCAACAGTGGACAGACGTGTCTAGACTCCCCTTGTGACCAGATTCACCATACTCCCCAACAGAAAGCCTCAGGTATAGGTATGGCCAAGGCATGCCCTCTGGCCCTACAAGCCTCCATCTACTCAAGCTCAGCAGGTTAGTGTGCTGTTGGACCCTGGATGCCTGCGAGCAGCGTGCAGGCTACCACTGGGGCTACCGTGCGGACATACGGTGCATGAAAAAAGCATGGTTCACCATGCTGTGCCTGCTTCTGACATCATGCTTTCAGGGAAGCATCACTTGGGTATTTCACCACAGTGTGAAAACAAGCACACAGACCAGGCTTTCTGTGGTCGCTGAAGGTCTTCTAAGAGCTGGACTAAGATGGAAGTTTTGGTCGTTTTCTATAGGAGCCTAGTGGTTGAATTTGCCCAAAGCAACCCTCAGGTCATTTTGAAAAGTCATGACACCTTGTATGTTAGATTTTAGTCTGCAAAAGATCATGATGTGATTGGATTATCAACGATTCAAGGGGAAAATTGGAATTAATCTTTTTGGGGTAGGCAGGGCTGCTTGGAAAGGGTGTATATCACTAAGCTACTGTACAGTGACTTAGCTTGTAGAACTGAGAAATGATATCAGTCAATTCTCTTTTTTCTTTTTTATTTTTCCAGGACCAGTATGAACTGTCTAATGGAAGAGGCAACCAAGATGGAGAAAATCAAATTCCAGCACATTGTCACTATCTATGGCATCTGCAACAGTCCTTTGGGGATAGTGATGGAATATATGGCGAGAGGGTCCTTGGAGAAAATTCTTCCCACTCACAAAATGTCATGGCAGCTCAAATTCCGGGTTATCCATGAAATGGGCTTGGCTATGAATTTCCTGCATAGCATGACACCTCCTTTGCTGCACTTAGATCTAAAACCAGGGAACATTCTCCTAGATGGGAATATGCATGTCAAGGTATGACCTTAATGCCATGTTTGTAAAGACAGCGTATTTCACAAATAAGAGAAAGGTTATTTTTGCCAAGTATGTCCAGAATCCTGCCTAATAAATTAGGTTCTTCAGGAGCACTCAATAAAAGATTGACCAGTGTGGCTTATAAGAAGCAGCTGGTAAACAAATTACATGGTATTCTCAAGAGTATGCAAGTAATCTGTGCCAGAACTGGGAACTTAAGGCTTCAACTTAGGAGGAAATGCTGATCTCCTGGACTAAATGAAAAGCACTGACTACAATTTTACCAGGGTTTTATGGCGTTTCAACTGCTAGTCACCTCCTCATATCCCTGATCGTGAAGGATGGAGGTATCTCCCAGCTAAAATAAGGAGGGGTGAGATTGTGAGCATTATGAGGGATCTCTGATTATTTTTTTTTTTTCTGCTGATAGATCTCAGACTTTGGGCTATCAAAATGGATGGAGCAATCTAGCCGAATGCAATATATTGAAAGCTCTGCTTTGAGAGGCACTTTGAGCTACATCCCTCCAGAAATGTTTCTCCAGAACAGCAAGCCCCCGGGAATCAAATATGATGTGTACAGGTAAGGGCTGCCTTTCTGTTCAGCGGTCACACGAGGTTGCCACCTACCTCTTACGCAGAGCAAGAGGGACTGGCACAGTGCCTCATTTTGTTTATATTCTGGTGCTCTGCCTTGCATAATGTCCGTGGTGGGGAGCACACTGGGAGTGATATGTGCCACTGCAACCTCAGTGGTGGGGAGTGGGATTATCTGTGGATAATCATCTCTCTTACCAGATGCACCTCTATGCAGCACCGATCCCATGTGAGCTGCAGACTGTATTGCCTTAGGTTCTACCCTGTTAGCTTGCTGGAAGTTATTATAGAAAGATTAGAGTACAGAACAGAGTGTCTGCTCTTTCACAGCAGTTGCGGCTTACATTTCTTTTGATTTTCCAACAACTGTAATATTGCTTGTCTACTTCGGTATGCAGCTTCATTTTGGTCAGTACCAGGTGGAGAACAGATTTTAACTTTACTTTTTTCCATTTGGCCAAAGTGCTTTGCGGCTCACTTACACCAGCTACATATATATGTTCTGGAAGTTAGTCAGCTCCTTAGCCACTACACTACACAGTAACCCAAGACAAGAAGCAAATGAGGATTTGCATGGCTGTATGAACTTGCAGTAGTCAAGGGCTCTAAAACCCAATGTGAATAAAGTGGAAAAAAAGGCACTGAGAGTCTGGCTCTAAATCCCTCATTCACTACACCAACCCTTTCACTGAGGCATCAGAGAGGTACGTGATGATTCATAAGATCTTGTCCTTTAGGTGTGGGGGATGAAAGCCTTCCATCCTGAAGAATTTCTTTCCTAATTTTCCCATTTCTCAAGGAGATGAAAGCAAAAAGTGAATTTTATGTTCATGTACATATGGGAATGATTGCTCATGATCTCTCATTGCCTGCAGCTTTGGAATTGTCATTTGGGAGGTACTTATGCAGAAGAAACCTTATGCAGGTAAATATGTATGCTTCTTATATGCTCTGCACTTAGTAAATGTTTATTACAGCCATTTTCACAGAGAAAAAGCTGAACACGTATTGCTTTTTTCTCAGGAGCCAACATGATGGCCATTATAGTCAAGGTTGCTGCAGGAAAGAGGCCCTGCCTAGAACCCATCAGCGATGACTGGCCAGGGGAATGCCAGCAGATGGTTGACTTAATGAAGAGGTGTTGGGATCAAGACCCTAAGCAAAGGCCAAGCTTTACAGGTGTAGTAGCTGATTATGACATGGATTAACCAAGGGTCAGCTGCATAGATTAATGAGTGGGGGATAAGCTTGTATACAACTCCTTGCCAGTTAAATTGCCTGTTGCCTTGGAAATGCTTGGTGCCCATTTGCTGTCAGCACATCCTCTTTCCTTCCTCCCCGTGTGGAGGATACATAGAAGACTTCCACAACCTTGGGTGCTGACTGGGTACTGAACGTCTGGGTAGTGTGTACAGCTAACAGTCTTTTTGCTCTGGTAGATATCCCTGTAGAAACAGACATGCTGCTGTCACTGATACAAAGCCTTGTAGTAGATCCAGAGAACGAGCGCCTTGTTAGAAAGATGTCCCACAAGCCTGCTATCTCCGCGAACCAGCAGGTGAGTAAGGCTTCCCAGGACCACTTGGGAAATTCCACTGAGTCCTTTCCCTGTTCTTGCCAGTTCTTGAGAATGTGTTTCCTCTCTCATGGCTGTTTATCATCAGACAATAAGGACGCCACAGCAACCTTTGTGCAGTGTGTTTGAAGAGGTTGTACATCTGTAATTCATTCAAGGGGATAGGAAACTTGCAAATAAATTCAGCAAGCTGGCCAGTGTTCTAAGTGATGCTCTGAGAGGAAGACCTTTCTTTCTAGCTGCTCAGATGAAATGGGTTTATAATGTAGGCCTCAGTCATTAAAAGAAGCTCAAGCAGACACAGAATCACAGGGGTTCTGCTGAAGGCACTGGCATTTGTGCTTAGATGACAGCTTTCCAGTTCCATGGAACTGAGGGCATTCCAGTTTAAACAACACTCCTAGAAGAAAAAAAAATAAAGTTTTAAATTCCTGTGTTTCTCTGACTAAGAAATAAATTAGGTTTCAGGATAGTCACAATTCTAGACCAGCAACTGGAGTGTAATTGTGCCTAGAAGTCAGCTTCATACAGGGAGAAGTAGCAGTTGAGAACTATTGCTATTTTGAGGATTTGCCTCGTTGCGCAGTCATCAAGAAACAAAATGCCAGAGTATAGAGGATTGAGGAGGTGGGGTTGTTTGGGTTCCCTATACAACAAAGAAAACTACCAGCTGGGATGCTGCCATGGGCACGTGCTGCAATAAGGAAGTAGAATATATGTATGTTCAGGAGTAAATGAGTAAGAGGAGAAAACATCTCATTGATAGCCTGAGATAATTGTCAGGCTCCCACATTCTTGTTAGTGTCATGATTTGCTCTGCTGAGTTTTAGGTGCAGTAACAGGATTGGATAAAAAAGTATTCAGGTGATAATACAAAATTCTAGAGCACTAGCAAAGAAGAACTCTGTGAAATGTTAAAGTATGTAAATAAGGAACATTGACTTATGCCTTTTTCTTTTCCTCTTCCTGAAAATGAGAGTGACAAAGAAGAGTTTGCCTTCCCCCAAGACACCAGAAGTGGTGGTAAGTAGGGGACTTCCTTTACCATTCAAAAATAAAGAAGGGGAAGCCTGCAAAAAGCAGCTTATTTCCTTGCTCACCAGTGATAAGGATGTGGCTCAATAAATTTTTCCATGCTGGGTAATTTTTCTTTTTAAATTAAGGAAAATAAACTATACAGAAAATAGCAGCTACAGTTCATGTGAGGGAGAGGCCGAATATCCCACTGCTTTCTAAGAGACTGTATGCAGCTGTCTTGCCCCACTTCATATTCCCTATCTCAAAAATGGTTTTTATTTCATTTCATACTATTAAGATTCACATGTTTTCCTTCCCATCTTGTGTGCACCAAGCTATTTCACTTGGTCTTACTCTCTCTCCTGTCTTGTGTCCCCTGCCTTTAGAAAGTGGTAATCAGGAGGTTCGTATCCCACCTTCTTACAGTCCAGATGACATCCTGTCAGAGGAAATCTGTAGAGTCCATGAAAATGGCCTCACATTGCTTCACCTCATGGTGATCCAGGGAAATGTGGAAAAAGTGAAGTTTCTCCTGAGCTGTAAAGCTGATGTAAACAGCCAGGTAGTCTGTGGCTATACCCCACTCATTATGGCTGTTCAGAAGAGGTCGCCAGAGATCTGCTCAGTTCTGATAGAGCATGATGCAGACATCAATATGCCTGATGATGATGGTTGGACACCTCTTCACTTTGCTGCTCAGAATGGGGATGACAGAATCGTACGCCTCTTGCTGGACCACCAGGCACAGGTAAATGCTCAAGAGCATGATGGGTGGACCCCTCTGCACTTGGCATCACAAAACAACTTTGAGAATGTGGCCCGAGTGCTGCTATCTCGCCAGGCTGACTCCAACACCCAGGAGGTTGATGGGAAAACTGCCCTCCATGTGGCAGCTTGCTTTGGACACGTCAGCTTGGTGAAACTGCTTGCCAGTCAAGGAGCAGACCTGGAGAAAAAACAGAAGAACCATAGAACCCCACTCCATGTTGCTGTGGAGAGGGGGAAGTTCAGGGTCGTCCATTATTTGCTGAAGAACGGGACCTCCGTCAACACCCTGGATCAAAATCATTACAGTGCCCTGCACCTGGCTGTGGTGAGGGGGAAGTATCTCATCTGTGAGAAACTCATCAAATATGGAGCTAATGTGGAGCTAAGAACAGACAAAGGTTGGACTCCCCTGCACCTGGCTTCTTTCAAAGGACACATTGAAATCATCCACCTGCTAAAAGATAGCCATGCCAAACTGAATGCCAAAGGAAGCATGGACTGGACACCACTTCACTTGGCTACTCGCTACAGCGATGAGCCGGTAGTCTGTGAGCTATTGAGGTGTGGGGCAGATCCCAACATCGCTGAGAAGTCAGAGTGGGCCCCCCTCCATTTTGCAGTCCAGCGGGGCTCCTTTTTGACTGTCATCAATCTTCTGGAGTGCAAGGCAGATGTCAATGCTAAGAACAAAATGGGTTGGACCCCCTTGCACCTTGCTGTCCTCAAGGGCAATATGGCCATCATAAAGACCTTGATTAAGGCTGGTGCTCTGCTTGACGTGGAAGATATCACTGGCTGTACAGCCCTCCAGTTGGCAATTAGACATCAGAGAGAAAACATCATTACGCTGCTTCAAGGCCAGAACTCGTTGATGAATAAATCGGGGAATAGGACCCTGGTGAATGATGCTAAGATTTCAAGACCCAGATTTGTTCCGGGAAGGACAGATTTGTAGATTAATCAAGCCTGGCATTTATGATTTGACTTTTCCAATATCAGGTGGTATGCCTTAAACCAGCATATCCTGTCACCTGGTGATTACAGGAAAATAACTTTTTTTTTTAAACAGAACTTTCTAAGCACAAACACTAAAAGAGTAAAAGAAAATGCAGCTGCAGAAGGAAGCTGACAAGCTATTTTCCAGTCTGACCAAGCTTGTGGAACATTTTGGCTTGGTGATGGTGGCTTTAGGCAATGCTTTCGTGTTTTAATATTTACTGTGCAAGGATGGAAATGGATAGATATATATACTCCCTTTTCATATCCGCAACGCTGAATCTGTGCACAGGAATCCATCCATACATGTTCTCCACAGAGTTTCTTGGGTTTATTCCATGTTTTCCTATAGAGCAGATTAGTGTAAAACAGCCTTGCCACAGGTGGGCATTGAATCATGAGATTCTCACCTGCTGCTGGAAATAGACACTAAGCATATGGTACAGCAATGTGTCAGATTCTCTTGCACCTCATTTTTGTAACAAAAATAAAATAAAACAAGGAAGGAAGACAAAACCAGTAGTAGAAAGTATGTAAATGGATACAACACAGATAAAAGAAATTCCAGAATAATACCTTGCCATCCCTTCAGGAAAAAGGGAGCCAAGAGCTTTTTTCCTAAGCATTCAAATTACTTATTTACTGCCTCCACACCTCAGCCTTTAAACACCAAGGCTGTCATTAGAAAGATGGCCCTAAGGATAAGCTGAAAAGCACGTGCCATTCTGAATCATATTCCCTGCCATGAGGGCTACCAATGATCTCCAGTCTTAACTGCAAAATGTTGCTTTGGGAGTTTCATAGACTGATTGAAAGAGTTCCTACTTAGAAAACCAGCATCTAATTTGGGTGACCCCAAATTCTCATAGCCTTTTTTTTTTTTTTCAAGAGCACTGAGCAGCTGGGAAAGTTAGCAGGTATTTACTCTGTGGAAACAGACAGGTGGGGCTTATCACAGTCAGCTGAATGTATTATCTTAAAAGGCTCGTCTCTAAGAGCCTTCATGTAGTCTTTGAGGAGATGGGGTCTTCTGGAGAGCTGTGATTAAGGTATGGAATTCAGTTCTCTAGATTCAATCTTTTCTGCTGAAAATATGCTGCTGTGGATGAGTAGAGCAGGCTTTATGACAAATGTGTCCTATTTTTATGTATGGTCCTATTTGTGGGGATTGTTTTTAGAGGTGAAGAATCAGGGAAATTGCTCAACAATAAGTTAGGTAGCAGCACAGATCACTCAGTATGCTGGCTTGAGAGCAAAGGAGACTTTCTAGCCCCAAAGAAGTTGTTACTTAGCAGTTGAGACACAAGAGTACTGGCTGTCTTCAGGTCAAGGTTTAAGTTATGTCTCTGCTGGGAAATGATTCTTGATCTCTATCAAGAAGACGTTCTAGAGCCTGATTACTTTTCTGGAGAACATATGGTATTCATGGATTTGATTCTTTTGTCATAGTAAGTAGTACTTTTGTGCAGCTTGTGACAATCCTACCACAATTTACTAAATGCTTCCAAAATGTGCCTGGGATGATGACTTTCTTTCATCATCTTAGCTGGAAAGGTGCTGCAATGTAAACAAATAATCTGTAGCTCTGCAGGGGAGAAGATGCATCTTCCCTGCTGGACATTATTAGCTGGGAGTCATTATTTCAGCAAGTGTTGCTTTTTATCCTTTATAGATGGAGAAATAGAAATGTCTGTGCGTGCAGTGCACTTCAGGTCCCAGAAAGCAAGCCAAAGCGATAATGCAAACATAATTTGCTTCCTGGAGTGAGAGAATGGTGGGCTCCAGACAAATAGGCTTACTGGGTCTGAACAGAGAGCTGGTAAAGTTCCAGTGGCTGTGCTTGGGCTGAAAAGAAACTTGACTGTGCTGGAGACTGTCTCCTCTAGCTGAACATCAGTAATTGTTCTTGTTTGTTCTGCTGGTATTCCAGCGTCACCTTTAGCACTTCAGCCATTCAGAAACGTTGTACTGGTTCTTTACCTCGTGTGAACAAGAGTGAATGCCACATGAAAGAGAGCTCTGGCTAACGACTACAATTGCTCTAGTGCAGGGAGGTTCTGCTCAGTGGCTTCCTCTAGACTTGGTGTGTCTAATGTTTATTGCCTGGGAAAAGCTGGCAGTTTTTTGATTACCACAGAGCAGAACATCAGGTTTAAAATGCCCTATGAGAGCTAAGCTATTTTGTGATGTGTGAGTCATAACTATATTTCATTGTGTAATACAGCATGTTTTTCCTTAGATTAGCTTTAACCCACTGAAGTTCTCTGGACTACGCTAAATAAAAGATCAGGAAGGATGATTGTAATGACAATGCCTGCTATTAAAAATCTCTTAGTCACTTCTCATGCATTTATTTTCCTTTTAACATTTGACCAGTGGAACATGTAATGAGTACACTATTATAAACTGGGTAGAGACAGGGGGCTGCCTGCATCCCCAAGGGCAGGCTGTGGGCTGCTTTGCTCTGGGAGATGCTGGATCACCTGCAGCTCTGGAGAACGGCAGATGTGGGAGCAACGTGAACCACAAAGGCAGGAAGGTTCCTAGTTTACTTTCCCCTCCTAGTTCAGGGCATAGGGGTCTTTGGGTTCCAGGTTTACCTCCTGATTGAATGGGCTGTCCAGTACCCTGCCTTGCACAGTGGCAATACAGTTACCATCTCTGCAATATGGCCTTGCAAATATCTGCCTGCAGATCTTGAAGGAAACCTGCCAAATTTTTTGTATGCCAAAAAGGTTTTCTCCTGGCTGTGTACAAGAGACTAACTTTATTACATTATGAAAGGATACAGTTGATGTTGTTTTCAATTGAACCCTCTTCTGAGGGGAAATGGATGGTGCTACTTATGTAAAAAGTTGACATGATTCATTCAGTGCTGCAAGATAACATCCAAATCTTGAGAAGATTAAAAAGCCCAGCCTCTACTAATTTCACTTTCATTTTTACATTAACTTAAAATATTAATGCATAGTATCTTTGGATTGTTTTTCATGATGCTTTGACACCAAAGCAAAACTTTTAGATATTACTTTAAAATGGGTTATATTAAAATGGTTAATTTTTAGCATTTGCTAGCTTCTGCTGTGGAGTTTATGAATTGAAATGCTGGTGAGGTTTTATTTTGAAGGGAGCTTAAAAATGTACCTTTTTTTCTGCAACAAAAACAAGCTTGAGGTATTCAGAAATTACTCAAGAATGGAAATACCGTTTGCCTACCTTCCAGAGTCAGCTTATGATGCAAGTTTTCAAAGGGATGGAGAAGGAAAGGGGACGTACAGAGTGGGATTAAAGGCTGCGATAATTGAGACGAAGGAATCATGTAGTTTGTACCCACCATACAATATGGAGTGAACTTTCAATCACCTGTGCTAATATCTCCTCAGTTCTCTTCCTTTCTTGTCCTGGTTTTATCTCCCTGGGGACACCTTGGGAGAGAGATTATTGCAAATATAAAGATTGCATACATGTAAACTGGATTATTTCAGATGGCTCCCAGTTTACTTCTTGTTCATGGATGATGTTCGCTTCTGTAGGAATTGGGCACTATGTACAGTGAGAGCATCTGCAGAATTGCCCTTCAGATGATGGGGGAGCATCACTTGCTCAATATGCTCCCTGATCTTTTTTTAGCCATTACAGTATTTCCCTGCCAAAGAGCTAAAACCATCTGTTTATCTTTGAAGCCTAGCTCTGAAATCCAGATCTGTTTCCCAGTGTTGGCTGCTAAATGTGCCCTGTCTTCAGTCCAGGGCATGGAGACAGACAGTGTTTTGAAAGAGGCTATTCTGCTGCTAGTACTTTTTCTTTCTCATCAGCTGAAGTGGAAAAGAGGGAGGATAATGACATCTTTTGCATTAAGTCAGTGCCCAAGGAATTGAGAGAAGACAGCTAATTGAAGACTAAATGCCAAGGTCCCAAGTGCCTCTCAGAATGCCACCCTCTTCCAATGGTCCTTTCACACAGAGAGATGCCTGGGTGGGGATGCCCATTTCTCATTAATTAGGGGAAGCCTGCAATTTAATGCACTAAACTAGCCACAAATGCTGAGCTCTGAAATGATACAGTTCTTGTTCTGTCTGTTCTCTGTGCTTTCTCAATGCCTTGATACAAGCTTTACACTCAAGATGGTTTTATTACTTATTCAGATAGCAGGTCTTTGGCTAATATCATCTATTTCTGATGGTTTTGTGTCACAGGAGAGTGAAAAGGACAATACCTTTACATGCATCTTGCTGATGTTATAATTACCTCCTGGGAGTCTGTGGCATTCCAAAGGCAAATTTCATTACGTGTCGTTAACAATAGCAGAATTGGGAATAGATGTCTGGCTAACACCCCCCCACACACATCCTGGGGATTCTTTCATACTAACACTTGCAATGGAAATAGTCAAACTTTGCTCCCATAAGGATGTCATTCTCCACCTCAAATTCGGACGTTCTCATGAGGTGCCCTAGCTTCATTATTTAACAGGAGTATTTTGAAGCGAGTACATTTTTAGTTTGCTTAACTGCAATTGGGCAGCAGTGAGCTGTCTCCAAAGCTCCCCAGAGAGTTCTCAGGGTTGCACAGTAAGCATCCTTTCTTTTAAGTTCAGAACAATGGGAAGCCTGGGAGATTGGTGGCCCAGCCAGCCTCATAGCTATTGGGCATCTGCTGGGATGCCCACAGGACATGGCAGACAGGAGAAACCACAGGTCTGGGTTCCAGGGGCAGAGAGAGGAGGGAGAAACTGCTGAAAAAGTTAACATGTGAGGACTGTTTTCCTTCGCCTTTTTGTTAAATAACTCAAAATGCCGCTGGCAGTGGTTGCTGTGTGAGATGAAGAGGATGGGCAGTTTCCCTGTGGAAAGGCCCCACTAGCACCAGTAGCGTTGACCACAGCGGTGCCTGGGGCTCCAGTGGGAAAAGCCGAACTCAGACCCATGCAGCCACTGTTGCTGCCACATGCTATGCTGCAGAAATGGCATTTCTCATGCTTAGCCTCAAACAGAGGGGTGTTTGTAGCAAATCGGAAGCTTCGCCTCTAATTAAAATGTCATACTTCTCATACTCAAACAGCCTGGAAATCTCTTGCTGAGACCTAAGCTGTTTAGCTGTTGTTAAGCTGTCAAAGGCGTAACATTAAAGAAGTATGAGGCATAGACAGATAGCTCTCCCTTGGTGTGACATTTTTACTCTAATATCACTTTGAAGATGCCTTTCATAGCAGTGATGCTTGAAATTCTGCAAGATGATGGATGTGACTGGCAGCAGGAATACTGGTCTCCCTGTACTAGTAACGTTTACCAAAAAAAAAAAAAAATCCAGCAGGCCAGAAAAGAACCCAAAACCTCAGCAGTAATTGAAGTCAGTCTGGGGAAGGGTTTTGTGGGTTTGGGGTTTATTTTTGTTTGCTCTTTTTCTGAGTGTGTACTATCAAGGGCTCAAATTTGTGACTGGAGTCTCTAGGGTTCAGTTTACTCCCTTTAACCTCCAGGCAGCAGATGGGGGGGGGGCGGGGGGGGGGCAGGAGGAAGTGAGGCTTGAAGGACTGAATTCTGCCTGCTGTGCACAGTGCATGTTTCCCAGCTGGTCTGCGTTGATTATAACTGTGGCTTTAACTGAGTTGTAGAGACATGAGAATTAAAAGCAGCATGGTTCACTTCCCCGTGCCTTCTCCATATGTATGCGCTTTTTTGCTGATCTCTGCGTATTCCTACATATGGTGGCATTAACGTTTACCAAAAAAAAAAAAAAAATCCAGCAGGCCAGAAAAGAACCCAAAACCTCAGCAGTAATTGAAGTCAGTCTGGGGAAGGGTTTTGTGGGTTTGGGGTTTATTTTTGTTTGCTCTTTTTCTGAGTGTGTACTATCAAGGGCTCAAATTTGTGACTGGAGTCTCTAGGGTTCAGTTTACTCCCTTTAACCTCCAGGCAGCAGATGGGGGGGGGGCGGGGGGGGGGCAGGAGGAAGTGAGGCTTGAAGGACTGAATTCTGCCTGCTGTGCACAGTGCATGTTTCCCAGCTGGTCTGCGTTGATTATAACTGTGGCTTTAACTGAGTTGTAGAGACATGAGAATTAAAAGCAGCATGGTTCACTTCCCCGTGCCTTCTCCATATGTATGCGCTTTTTTGCTGATCTCTGCGTATTCCTACATATGGTGGCATTTGTGAAAGATGAGGGGAATAATAGAACATTCCTCAACTGCTTTTCTAACATGATATAGAAACTGATGGACTTTTTTTTTTTTTTTTGAAGTATCAGTATGGTTTTTGCATATTTGACCATGACATCAGCTAGTGTCGCATGGCCTTGTCTTGCTTTCCCCTCCTGGGAACCAAAGTTGAAAGGTTTGCAATACCAGAATCCCTCATAAATGTTGAGCAGCACCAGGCATTAAGGGTTTAATTATTCAGTAAGGAAGGCTTGGGTTTTCTTTTTGATGTTTACATCCAGCTCTGAAAATCCTGTAGCTGAAATATAAGAAGCAGGTTGTATGGGTCTTCAGAAACCTGGACTCAGTTGTGAATGCTAAGCTTTTGCAAAACTGCTGTCTTTACTGTATCGGTGACTCCACCAGCTGTTTATCAGACAGGAACAAAGGCAGATGTTCTCAACTGTCACTTTGTTAAAATGGAAAACTGGGAGGGAGGGAAGTGTGAATTTATTTTTCACACAAGATAGCCTAGACCCTGTTTTGAGGACCTCTGCATGGTAACATAAACAGTGATTATGATAATATCCATCTTCAGACATAATTTGTGTTACTCGGAACGCTGGTAATCTGGTGATTTGATAAATTTAATCCAATAGTGTCAACTAACTGTATGAAATGAACAGAATGTTAGAAAAAGGGAATTAGCCTACAATAAATCTTCTCCTTAAAATTTGCAAAGAGAAAACCAAGACAAAAAGTGTCCCATTCAAGTTATGTTCTAATGGAACATCGATAACACAGGCTGTGTTGCTTGGTAACCAGTCCCAAGTAAAACAAAGAGGACACTCACAAGAGTCCTCCCTGGAATAATAATATCTTGCAATGAGGGCCAGCACAGAAAGAAAAAGCTATCAGAAGGAAGCAGTGTTCAGCTGCGCTCTAATCTAGGGGAGAGCCTTAAATTCCGCTTTCACAACAAAGAGTAGGAGACTCTTCTGGATACATTTCTGCTCTGCAGATTGCTGCATTTGAAGTTTTGGTCCAAGGTCTGCTTACGTTTACCTGATCTGTTCTTGAGATGTTCTGCAAAATGGCAGCTGTGGGCATTGTCCACAGGGGGAGAGGACTGGCTGGTAGGCACACTTCAGACACAGACCTTTTCTGTACGGCTCTTTCTCTTAACTTTAGCAGTACTGAT